CAAAATGCCAGGATAGTATTAGGTCTTTTTCCTAGTTCCACTGATGTAGACAACACAAAATCTGCTTTGGATTAATATAATCTATTCATGTTTGTTTGTTATATTTTTATCCCACCTTTTTCATTTCAAGGAATTCAAGGTGGGCTGTATATGCTCCTCCTCTCAATCTTATCCTCATGACAACAACTTTGTGAGGTAAGTTAGGCTAAGTGTTTGAGAGTGGCCTAAAGTCATTCACTGAGTTCCATGGCTAAGTAGGGTCTAGAACTGAGATCTCCTGAGTTCCAGTCCCGTACTCTTAACCACTGCATCACACTTATAATAAAAGCTGAACTTGAACAGTCACTTTTGTTGTATCAAAACAATTTTTACAGTGCTGCTGGTGTAGTCAAAGAGAGACTTGTGGAAATGGCATAGATGGGAGGGTGCGGTCTTCCCCTCTCAAGATGTCAACTCTAGAATGCTCCAGTGGAGCCCTGCGCAGGCACAGAACCCAAATGAATAATCTACAGAAGCCACAAAGAAGCTGTTACATATTTACTATAGTTGTCCTGTACTATTTAAACATCAAGATGATCCTACAATTTCAGAAATCAAAAATTCAAAACAAAATATGGCAGTATGTGTAACAGTAGACTGTGAAACAGTATGCATCTGTTTTATTTATTACATTCCTATACTGTCCAGTAGCTGAAGCTCTCTGGGGAGTTGTGTGTGTGTGTGTTTACACACATGTGTATTAGGAATAAGATGCAGTGCCACCAAAGAATTTTTTGGCAATCTCGGGAGAGATAGCTCAGCTTTGACAAACAATACGTCTAGTGACTCCTACCAGTGAAAATATAGCAATGGATTCCCCAAAAGTTAGAATAAGACTAGCGACTTACTATGTCCTGATACCGGAGAAGTGCAATAGTCCCGGTAAAGACAGTATCAGACAACATGGAATTTTATAATCTGTGAGCTGTTAGTGGATTTTCTCTTGCATAAAGAAAATGCTGGACCAGCCCATTCTGCAGCTACATTTCTGTATTTTGATGCACAAAATATTCTTCTTCAACATCCTACAACTTGAAGTTTGTTCCTATTTATTATTTTATATCTCAGCAATTGCAAGTTTAGCTTAGTACAACAGTATGAGAGAAAAGTATTTTTAAAAAATCAGCACATTCTACCTCACTTGAATGTTTTGTTCATTGAGCAAACCACTCAAGCAAGAGAGCCAGTGTGATGCAGTGGTTAAGACTTTTGAACTGGAACTCAGGAAATCTGGATTCTAGTCTCTACTTGACCATGAGGTTTCTTGGATGATTTTGGGCCTGTCACTGACTTTCATCCTAAGCTACCTTGCAGTATTCTCGTGAGGATAAAATCGAGATATTGAATATCTAAAGACACAAATGTTCTTTTGAATTACCTATCCATCTCTTGGAACTTTATACCATGTTAATGAAAATGAATTTTTTGGCCTCTTGACAGCTAAAAGACTAATAGTATAACACTGGAAAGATTAATGGTGACCTGCAATAAAACAGTGGGTGAAAGATTTAATAAAACTTTTGATTTTTGAATGGGTGACCTTCAAACATAACTTACAAAATGATAAATATATGGATATTTTGCTGGCTTTATCAAAAGTGAATCACAAGAGTGTGTTCTGTTATATAGTATTATGGATTTCTCTCCTTAATTATTGTTGAAATATTGCATTTTTCTTTCTTTTTTTGTAGTGTAGTTTGTCTGCTGCAATAAAAATAAATTAAAAATTGAGAAGAGGAGGAAAATGATAAAAGCTGTCTTGAGATCTTTGAAGGAAAAAAGGTGGGATATAAATATACCAACAAGCACATACACATAAACAATTGTTGCAAACACCTCCTGGACAACACAAGATTATTTTCTTCAGATATATCTTTCTCTTGGACAATCTTTTTAAATTGGACAAAACATGGGGCAATTATTTTCCAGTGGCATTTTGGACTTCTCACTTTCAAAAAAAGTATGAAATTATAGTCAGTAATTACCATAAATTAAATTCTTAAATCTAAAATGGTTACATTTAGCCAACAGCTCATACATTTTAGATAGCTTTTTATAATACAGCCAATTGGAAAATGAAAAGAATGGCACATTGTTCATTTTCAAAATGCAACAAAATAAATAGAAAGATGTTGCTTAGATGCAGTTTAGGAACACAGAGAGCATATGTCCAGGAAAATGGAAATGTTGCTTACCTGTAAATCGAGTTGCTAGGATACCAAGCAGACTGAGCCTGGCAAGCTAAGGCTCTTCAACCCTATAAAACATATCCAAAGTAATGCATTTCCAGAACAAAATACTCAGGAGAAAACATAAAGGAGGAAAGGATCTTTGGCCATTCAATAAATGCTTGTGTGAATCATGTGTTTATCAAAACAAAACAAGCAAGGCAGGATGTACTTTTTAAAATGCGTGTTTGCTTTGCAATTTTAGGTAAGAAGGCAGGAGGAGCCTCTGAAACAGCCACATGGAATCCTTCTGACAAGGAAACGTTCATGCCCCATGCTTGGCCTGTCCCGTAAGAACTACTTGCGCTCATTGTCATGGCTACTGCCTTAATGCTGGTTACTGTAATCAACAGCACTTTGTTTCATGTCCAGTGTATCTAGCATCCTCATGGGAGGAAGAGAGTTCTTGGCCAGCATACTCTAAAATTGACTGTTCTTTTGATTTGAAGTTCCACAGACAGAACCCACTAAAATTATTCACAGATACAGCACATCCTGTGCAAAAATAATTTCGTGAAGTAGCAAAAGAATAAACTGGTGAAAGTATTATTTGGTGCTCCTGTGAAGTATCATTGTATCATTGGAGGAATATGCAACAGTACTGAGAAGTTGTTTGGCTGATTTTTCAAGATGGCTTTTTAAAAAAGAGTTACATTGCAATAGTCAAGACAGACACTTGGATATTTTGGGTGAATACTTTAAAACTAGTTAGGAAGTTTTCTTCCAGGTTAAGAAAAAGAGAGCCTGTTCTATATATGTTAGGAGGTATTCCAATGAATCATCTTGGCATTCCAGTGGTACCTGGTCAGTAGGGGTGGGAAATGGAGTGCAATAAGGGGTGATGGGTTCTGTTCTGTTCTCCTTCTACTAGGAGCTTGAAACATCGGTCCCTTTGAATTCTGTATGACAAGCAACCCTACTTTACATATGACGCAACGTATAAATATTTTCTACAAGACAAAGAAGCAGGAAAAAATAAATTAGATGCAGACTTAGGAACTAAAGGCATCCCAGTACCAAGCATCCCTTGCATTGAACAAATAAACATGGGCAGAATAGTTTATTTCTGCTATTATGGAGCAAATGGAGAGATGCATAATTTCTCCGTTATTTTAGGACTTTGGGTGGGATAATAGGTTTGTTTTGTCCTTTTCAATTATGAGTGTTGGTAAGAGGGTCAACTTATTCTATACCATTTTGTCTGGTACAAATCATGTACAGTAATATAGTCTGATGCTTCTCCTCCTTTGAAAACTCAAGATTGTGAAGTTTGCAAGGGCAGCTCCTCAGAGATTAACCTTTCATTCATTCTATTTGCCTGGAGGAAAATGCTTTACGAAACTATTTCACACCAAATGAAGACTCAGGAAGAAAATGTATTGCTCCTCATCTAAGCATGATCTTCAGAAGCCACTAAAATCTTGTTAAGTCACCTTATACTCATTGAAATATTTCCTGTTTTTCAATTAGAAAATGAAAGCAATATAAACAGTAAAAGTAATGATATGAGTAATACAAGAAAAGTAGGACATCCCTACTCAGCAAAGAATTTAAGAAATTAATTTTAAGACATCATCGAGCACATCTCCTGAAAGTTATGGCACATCTACACAGAAGATCAATTTGATCCATTTTGTTACAAATTTTACTTGTACAATTTACATCACATTTTGTGGTCTACTCCTCCCATGTTAACAGGCACATTGGTATCTACATGTCTTGAGTTAGAATTGGAATTGGGAATGAATCTATAACATGTATCAGTTAAGAGAAATACTTAATGAACAACTCCTGCTGCACTGAAACAATTCACTGAATCACAATAACAAATAATTCAGCACATCTGAAAAATGCATCAGAAGGAGTATGCACAAATGCACTTGAAGTCACACTGAATGGAGAGAGGTGACATGGGGGTCAGTCAATGGGGAAGAGAAGGATCAAATTCCCAAGGCCATAAACAAGAGCCCCAAAGACAGAGCCCAGAGGTTTAACAAGGCCAGTTTGTTTTCGTATTATATCATAGAAGGATATTATAACTCTTTAAAAGAGGCATTTAAAACAATTCCAACACTCTTTATACAAATGTTTATCAAATCAATTCCAGAGACTAGACATGTCAGAAAATTAAATACAAACTTCTAACATATAACCTCACCAAATGAAATCCACTGAATACACATTTATAAAGCTAAAACCACAATCTCATACTGGCATGACCAGCACCATTAAATTGTTTAAAATGACAAAGAAATGGTTTTATAATCTTTCCAAAACATGTAACTAAGGAAGAATGGTACAGTTATGGGCAATGTTTAAGAACGACACTATTCATACTTGTAATGTCTACTAAGAGACACACATTCTCAATTGTAGGAGACTGCAACTGGATGGACAACAGTTTCTAGCCTACCTTTATATGAATGTGTCAACCTGGAAATAAACCACATGCTCAGATATGCATGTAAGGCACATGAACTATGGAGCTACTTCCACTAACATTTTGAGTGTTCCTTTTCCAAGACAGAATCAGGTTGAATGCTTTTCAGAATGGGGCTAAAAATTCACTAGCAATATCAATGTTTTTACACTAAATTTCTAGGTAAGGAGAACTTCTGAGTGCTATAAGAACATGGATGCAACATGCATTTATGTGGCCACAGTCAATACTTTCAAAACTTTTAATTACACTCAAGCAGCTGGTAGCATCATTGACTCAAAGCCCCAGATTACCTTGATTGCTCTGTCATTATCTCTTATCAGCTGCTGCTTCTCATCTTCAAACTTTTGTAAAACATCCTGCAGTCGTCTTTCTGTGGCAAGCTGCTGCTGGTTGCTTTCCTCTGTCAGAGAGGAAATGGTTGTCTTAAGTTCAGCTATGATCTAAAAAGAAAACAGCATGCTAAAACTACTACTACAGTAAGAAGCATATATTCTGCATGTATTGATGCTTGACATGCAAATGTGAGTTGGCAAACTCAGCTGTGAAAACTAAATAGTTTAAATTAACATATTACACTCTAGCGAGCAGAAAATTCTAACAGAGAAAAGCAATATAGTAAGACTGAAATAGCATAAAACTGCTGAACATAAAACATTTATAGGAGAATTTTCCACTATAAAATTCTGCAATAATTTACTCACCCGAACAAAGCGCATTTGTTATGTGAAAACATGGGAAATGTGGGATTACAATTTTCCATTTCACTGAAATGATTTTTAAAATCAGTCAGTTGCAGCAGCTTTGCACTGTTACTGGGATATGGAACAGAAGTTCAGAACTTTCTGAACTAACCAAAAATGACAATTTGAATATAAATATTTTTAGAAGTCCCCACTGATAACAAAACTTGATATTTTGGGTTTAGACAGAATACCATGGCTGGGAATCTGAAGAATCACAAACATTAACATGCTTAAGCATTTGCAAGGGTGTTTGTGCAACTTTTGCAGTGCGTGCTTCTCAGGACAGACCTGAGTGCAAAGAATTGGAGGTGTGCAATGTGGGGATTGGTTTTGATCTTGCTAAATATCTTATATAGTGCTTAGAATTATTTGAATATAAACTCATTTGGCATAGATATTAGTGCCTTATGAATAAAATGGGTGGTACTTGAATCTGTGAAGCTTTGAACAAGAGTCTTACAAATGTAGTGTGGGTCAGTGTGAATATCTTCTCTACTACCTAAGGCTACATGTATTAGCAAATTCACTTATGAGTATGTCCCACTAAGCTCCCTGGAACTGAGTCTGAGTAAACATGCTATTTAAGTAATGATATTTAGTCACTCTTTTACAAGAGACTTTTTTTTTGTATCATGTTATGGAGACCTAACCAGGCAGAGAATGTATCAGATATGTTAAGGTTACTTAACATAAATATTTCAGCTAGGTTTGCAGGAACAAGTATAATTCAGAGGAAACACTTGTTCCTTATAAAGCACTTATTGTAAAACCTTACTTAATAAAGTGACATATCTGGGAAACGTTTGCTTGAAAAGAACTCATAGAGCTGAACACATTTGTTGTGAAACCTTATTTAATAAGGAGGTATATCTGGAAATATTTTCTTTAAATAGCTCATAAAGCTGAATACATAGAGGTATAACTGCATTTTTGCCCTAAATAAGTGACTTCACTCATGTTAGGCACAAGATTCTGGCCATGCACATATGCAAATACCTACATGCCCACACAATATTCATTAAATCAGCAGTGTTGACAGATACAGAACTAGAAGAGCAGAGGAGACATGCTATGCAGCTTAGGAAGGCTGGATGCATTGAAAAAGCATGTCCAGTCCTTGCAAAACAGTCCATGGAGAAATATATTGATGCATAAGCTCAAATAGCTTTAGATTATCCAATTCAGCTCACTGAGTGCAAGGCCTTGTGCTAACAGTTTCCAAAGTCAAGGTAAAAGGAAATTGTTTAGCACAGGTACAAAGTTAGCAACAGGGTGAGGAGGCCTGGGTGGCAGATTTTTCCCTACTTTCTTCTAGTAAATAAACAAATAACAATAGAATCAATAAAAAGATTCACAGGTAAACAGCAGCCGTTTGGGGACTATCCAGTGCTTCATGTATCACTGCTTGCCAGCTGAACCATCATCATGGGTGTGTGTTCAGTGTAATTAGCTCCTGACACCGAGGGAACAAGTTTGTACCCTTGAAGCCAAAGTTTCTAACATGGGGAAGCTGAGAGCGGGAAAGAGGTTAAGACCTTTGGCAACCTAGTAACATAGTCCCAACCCCTGAGTGACAGCTGCTCTTCTGAAGAAGAGAGAAGTGATCCCTTAGAAGCGACCAGTTCCTCAAAATGTAAACAAATAACCTCTTGTGCTAAGGCCATGCCTTTGGGGGGCACCAGGCTTGTGGTGGTGGGAGATTTGCTCATCAAACACATACATAACTGGGTTTGTAAAGGGCATGTAGACCACATGTTCAATTACCTGACTGGTTGTAAGTATCACCTGCTGTCTAGATTGCTTTGCAGGCAGAAGTTGATCTTGGTACAAATGACATGGAGAAATGTAGCTATGAGGTCCTGGAAGCCAAATTTTGGTTGCTAGGTAGAAGGCCAAAATCTTGGACCAGAAAAATGAGTTTCATTAAAATATACAGTCCAGACAGTCAGAAGAAATTCAGTGTGTGAATGAGGTGGTGGTATAGGGAGGAGGAGATTTGTTAAGCACTTCAGAACATTTTGGAACAAGCCAGGCCTGCCTCAGAGGCTTCATCTGAACCAAGATGGAACCAGACTGCTGGGACTTAAGCAACTTTTAAACTGAAACTTTGGGGAAGACTGAAAGAAGCTAGAAGGCATGTAGTTCTGGTTGAAGCATCCCAATGAGAGGAAGATGCAAAGATTTTCAATTGGTTAAATGGCGGTAACAAGGGGATAGACGTTGTGGCAAAAATGATAATTAACCAAAGAAGCCAAAGGAGCACAGCAAAACTGTGTGTAGATTTGTCTGTGATCATGCTAGATGCCTTTGAGCCAGGGTGGGAAATTTGGAATGGCAGGTTATAAAGTATAACTTAGAAAAAGTGGGCATAATGGAGAGAACCATAAAGGTAAGGTCATCTATGGAAATAAACCCTACAGGAAGGACAGGGAAGGGTGCAATGTGGGAGGCATTGCCCTGTATGTCAAAGAGGGCATAGTGTTAATCAGATTAGAAAATCTAAAAAGAGCAGGCTCCTTCACAAAAGTGCTGTGGGGGACAATACCAAGCACCAAAAAGTAATATAGTTTTAGAGACATGGTATTGCCCCTGACACCAGAACACTTAGATTGATTTGGAGATAGAAAATGGTATCCGGGAAGCATGCAAATGAGGAAGAGTTGGAATAACCCCCACACTGACTCGCTAAATGCATGTTCTAGTCACAACAAAATGGTTAAATGTCTCAATGCCCTAAATGACTGTGACATTGGGCAGCAGGTCATGGAACCAATAAGAGGAGCAATTTTCATGCATTTAATCCTGAGCAGTGCCATTCAGGTCCTAGCATGAGATGTGCACATTGTCAATCCAATTAGAAGCACTGGCCATCGTGCTATCAGATTAAATATATATTTAAAGGTGCAATATTATACATGCTTAAACAGAACAAAATAACTCATGAAATATTGAGAGTCATAGGTCTTTTGGGGGCATGTTTGGAACTGTAGGCCTTTTTTCTTGTGCCCTAAGTGGAAAACTGCTGAGGAATTTCAATACAGTCATATTCAACTTCAAATGAATAAGCTTTCCTAAGATACAGGATCTAGTAAAAATGAAGTTGAAAAAGAGAGTCCAGATGGATAAATCTCTTCAAAATGTTTGACGGTTATTCAAAACAACAGCTAGAGTGACCATCACAAGTTATGAAAGGAAGCACCAAGTACAAGAAGTCACCAGAATAATTATCAGGCAGTGTCAATAAAAGTGTTGAAGAAGACTTCCTTCAGAAAATGGACTTCTTATCCAAATGGAAAGAACAAAAAAGGCAGAAATATGAACAAAAGGAATGTAAGTAGAAAATAAGCTGGACTGCTCAATAAATTAAGGGCGCTATACTGCTGTCCATCTTTTTGGGAGGGGGAGTTGTCTATAACTGCCATTAAATAAACTTGCCATTAAGAACTATAAAAGGGGAGAGAGCCACTTTCCCTCTCTCTGATGCACCAAGAAAGCTACTGCCTGCTTGCCCAGCTAGACTGACCTGTGACAGGGCCAAAAAACATCAACGCTGGTGGCAGCAGCCCTGCCTATATAAACGGACTCGCAATCGGTGCAGTTCAGGTATCAGGCTTTTTGTGGAGGGAAGGGATAAGTATTTTATTGTATACCTTATTGTTCAAATGCTATTTATATGCTATTGTTTTATATGTTCTTATTAACCACCTATTATGTACACTGCCCAGAGAACCCTGTGGGTTTTGGGAGTGGGATAGAAATGCAACAGCAGCAGCAACAAGAACAAGAACAACAACAACAGATGAGCATCTGTTTCTATAAAAATTATTTCTCCTCTCAATAGAAGACTCATTGAGAACAGCACGTCAAGACCAACAACTAAGAATTCTACAAATATATCACAAGCAGGAACCCAGCTAGGGAGGCATTTGGAGCACTGGATGAGAATGGAGCTATAGTACAAAAGAAGGATGAAGAGATTGCAGAGAAGCTGAATAACCTTTCTGACTTGGCTTCACTTAACCTGACAGATGGATATTTGTGCTTCAACTGATGTTTTCAAAAAAGGGGGTCTGAGAAACTGAGGTTTGCAGTGGTGAAAAATACAAAGTTCTCAACTTAACTGACAAACTGAAAGCCAATGTATCATCAGGCCCAAATAATAGCTCTCATAGGGTTCTTCAAAAACTCAAATATGAAATTACTGCTCTTCTAACAAAAATATGTAACACGTCTCTCAGGTCAGCCTGCCTACCAGAGGACTGAAGAATTGCCAACATTACAGCATTTTTAAAAGGAATCCACTGAGAATCTGGGAAATGACAGGCTGGTTAGTTAAACATATGTTCTGGGATAACTGGTTGAAAAAATTATTAGATATAAAATTATAAATTATAAAGTAGAAAATCATCTGGGAAAACATGAGAGTTTCAATAAGCATGTGGGTGGATTGGTTATCTGACATATTGTTTACTTAGCCCTCCAAAGACTTTTGACAAATCCTTCACCAAAGTTCCTGAATAAACTTAGCAGTCATGGAATTAGAGGAAATGCCCTCTTCTGGAACAGTAACTGATTGAAGAACAAAAAGCTGAAAATTAGAATAAACAGTCAATTCTCCCAATGGAAGGGTGTAAACAATGGGGTCACAGAGGGATCTGTTCTTGCACTAATGCTTTTTTACTTATTCATAAATTACT